TGTGTAAAAATGGATTTAAATGCATAATAATAGGAGTTTTTAAAATTAATTGAATATTTTATGAAAGTTGAAGGACTGAATTGCAAGAAGAAAGGCTCTTTGAGACCTAAATCTTAAGTAGGATCAAATTACTCATTTTATAAAATCTTGAGGACCAGATCTGCAATTTTACCATTGAAGAAATTACAAAAGAATTAGAAACGTTATTCAAGGTGTCTGCACCATGTGTTAGTGTCCTTAATTAAATATTATTTAACATTCAATATATTTCAACGTTTATTTTTCAAATTTTAATTTCTTAATATATTTTTATTAATTTATTAAATATTATTTAACATTTATATATATAATTAATATAATTACATTAGTAGAATTTTATTTATAATTTTAAAAACTAATATGAACATATATTTAACTTTATATAAATATTTCAGATAAAAATATAAAATAATTTTTGTAAGAGTCAATTAGAAAAATGGAAATTGACTCTTTTTGTGTTAGAGTCGACTCTTACAATGTAAAATCAACTCTATTTAATATCTAGAGTCGAATTTTTTATTGAAGAATCGACTCTGAACTGTTTCTAAAAATACTCTATTCTTTAAAATTTTGAAGTTGATTCTTGATATTGTGTAATCAACTCTGCTTCTTCCTAGATTCGACTCTTATGGTTAAGGGTGATAATCAGGGTCAATTGAATGATGCAATAGATGATTTGATAAAAAAAAAAAAAGATAAAAAAAAAAGAAGCAATCACATCTTCTTGGCAACCAAAACAGAACACAGAAGTCTTAATGCTAACTCGGGATCAATTTCCTTTTTCCTTAAAAAAATTGCAAATAACTCCACAAACTATGCTAGTTTTGGATGGTGCCTGGACGAGCTCGTCAAGATCCTTGCTTGTAGGGACGAGTTGGGGCAGATGGTTCTACCCATTTTCTTCCATGTGGATCCATCAGATGTCTGCAACCAGAGGGGGAGCTTTGGCGAAGCTTTTGCGCATCACCAAAAGGTTACCATAAACAAAGTAAAGAGGTGGAAGACTGCCCTTACCAGTACTATTTAACTATCAACAACATAGGTCTTGTTGGTGAAAATCCATATCACCGACAAGCTCTCCATGTTACTGATTGATTTATGGTATGGTGCAGCTGCCAATCAATGAATAATAACCTAACTCACCGGAAAATTTCAGTAATATGATTCTTGTTGCTAAAATTTACTTTCAGCAACATGATTCTTGTTACTGAAAATGAAAATTACTTTTTGAGATCTTGTATACTATTTAAGTATCAGTAACATGGGTCTTGTTGGTGATATGAATTATCACTAACAAGCAATTCCATATTGTTGATATTTAGTTGTTGAAAAAAAAAATTCAATAGTGTAAATGATAAGTTACATTTATATAACAAGAAATAATTATTTCTTTTTCAAACTCTTTCTTACTTATTGTAGGATTTAAATATGAAAATTTTAATATAAAGATTCAAGCTATTAATTAATAAGATGTTTCTTGGGAAACATTTTATATATAATTTTTTTAGATACTTAAAGATTAAAGATTGAATCTTAAGTTTATAGTTAAAAATATATTAACTCTATTTTTAAATTACATAATTGATTATACATTTTATATATAATTTAATAATTAATTAGTTTACTGTGTTAAATTTTATAATATTGTTTAACTTATAAAAGTTGTAATTAAAAATGATAGAAGTATGTCTTGTGCACATTATTAAGCTAAATGGTAAGATAAAGGGGGTAGAACTTGCTACTTAATACTAACCCTTTTTTTATAAGGATAATGGTTAAGAAGTTAGTATGAATTAGTTGTTAACAATTGGGAATTTGATCTCCAGACTGAGTGAACATTCCACTCCCTTAAATGAGGCACGCAACCATCAGACCGCTTTTGATGGAGTTTACGACGGTAATAAAATTTGAAACTCCAACCACCTCATTCAAATATTTAAAGTTTGGGTCGAACTATTAGATCTAAAAGTCTAGTTCATTTAATATTAACCTTAGTAATTAATGTATTTGGAATCCACCTCCCACAATCGTTTCGTGGGACAGAGATTTTATTGCAATGGGATACCGACCAATCTCCACCGTCCACGTTGCTGACCCTTGCCGTCAACTCAACCATGTCAAATCATCATAATCAGTCGAGCTGGCGTGCACTAAGTGATTGTGAATATCTTTATATATATATATATATTTGGGAAATGCAATCGGAAGAAAAGAAAACGGTTTTATCGCTTCTGAAAAAATTTTCCATTTAGGATTAACGAAC